GGAGAAAGGCATTCCTGTACTTGCCTTGGGAAAGGCAGGAGCAGCCTAGTGGTTCTTTTGTGTGGTCAAGTTGTGAAAATGCCTGGAGTCCTGTGGGAGGACCCGGTGGGGGAACCCTGTGTCAATCGAGTGTGAATCTGGACCAACTGATCATGGCCAGAGGCAAACACAATATGCAAGCCTAGGGACTTAACGTTTCCTTTAGGTTGACTCCAGTAATGGAGTTAAGATGAACACTGTTCAGGAAACAGATATTTGTCTGCTTGCAATTAAGATAATTTATACTTGTAGGAACTGGTTCCATTGACATGGAAGTTATATTAGCAGAGAAGTAATTATTCCTTCGGGACGGGTAAACTTTCTAATGAGCCTAACCTTTCTTGTCTTAACGAGTCCAACACAGCGGAAAACCTTTCGTTCTAAGGTAGAACTCTGGTTCACGATCACCATTTCTCTGTGCAGTTTTTCCACGTGGCTCTTTGTGGCAGGTCTTCATGGGGTGGCAGTCTGGCTTTCCTGCTGTCTGGAGCACTGACAGGCTGAAGGTACTTCCAAGTATTGGTGAAGTTGTTTCTGTTTGAAGGTTGTCCATGATCAAGTCCCTGTCTGAAAAATATTCTCATGATTAATCTTTTTCAGAGTATGAATTCTAGAGTTATATGGTTACCTATATGCTTTGAGAGTATAGGGCCTCTACATTGATTTTGAAAATCAATAAAATAGGTTATGTTGCCATTGAAAATGTGTCCATAAGATCCAATCCAAGGAAGAATTATGAACACGGTGTAAATTATTTTGGGAACAAATTCCGTCCCATAGAAAGTGATCTCTTTCCTTCAAGCCTCTTCACTTAGACACACCTGAAGGACCTCAGGCTGCTTTAGGCTCGTTACTACACCTGACCTGCCCTTCTCATCAGAGCCTGTGTCCGGGCTTCATTATTCCCCTGCAATACTTACACATCCTGTGTCTAACCCAGATCATTTTACCCATGCGCAAACATAGGAATAGGAAAATACAGTGGAGTTGGAGCATACACACCTCAAATGGCACACATTCACCTAGCCTTAACCAGGCAAAAGCAAGAAGATTGTGGGAGAACAATGAGAGTTAAACAGTGCGTGAGGCCCACTGTCCTGTGCAGTGAGAATAGGTCCCTTATTGAGGATAGTTTCAGAGGCAGGACTCTGGCTTTCTTTTTTATTTCCTTTTTTTGTGGGGGGAGGAGGTGGGGGGTGGTTTATTTATTTATTTAATGGAGGTCCTGGAGATTGAACCCAGGACCAGATACATGCTCAGCATGCACCCTGCCGCTGAGCTGTACCCTCCCTCGAGGACTCTGGTTTTTCAATGTTTCTTTTCCTGAGCCCCTCTCTAAGGGTGAGTGTGTTCCCCTGGCAGGGCGCTAGCCCACTGGTTAAAGGTAAATGGCTTTGGAACAACCAGTTCTTTTAACTCTAGCAGGTATTTCATCTAATAAAAGAAAGGTGGCCTATTCTTTTGCTAAAGGGAAATCTGGCTGTGTTGGATTCATGAAGAGAAGCTACAGGTCTCTTCCCAATGAATATAGCCACATATATTGGACTCTCTGGGTGACCTAGGTGTACGGGTGATTTCAAGAGTCAATTTTGATTATATGTGACTTTTTTTACCTTCTGACTTGAACCTAACATTCTGGAGTATTGTCCTTTCTTTTTCTTTCTCATTTCCCTAATATCAGTTGCATTTATCTCAGAATTTCTGAGATAAGGGTTTGATCAAAGAAAAGAATGACTCCAGATGTGGGATTTTGCCACTGTGGCTACCTGCTCATGTTTAGGGAAGGGATTTCATGGGGCTGTTCTCAATTCTGAAAAGAACGATCCTGGGTATAGCCTGTAATTTTATGTGTAAGACCACAGATGTATCCAGTTAGATGTATCATGTTGGGCAAGTCACTTAGCTTCATTCTGGGTTTTGATTTTCTTACCTGTAAGGTAAGGAGTTGAAATTCTCTCAATCATAAGGGTCTTTGAATCTAACTGAAGATCTCATGTCAGTTCATATTAATCACTTAGTAAAATTTTTAAGCTTTTCTCATTTTCTCTTGGCTGCCCTGTTTTGGGGAGAGTCACCTTTGCTTTCACTTTTTTTTCATGATGAATTCACAACATTATATATGGTCTTGAGTTCTCAGGGAATTAATATGTAATAACATAGAAGGCAGAAAAGTAATAAAACCACCTTCAGAAAAGTAGAGCACAGAATTGTAAGACCAGGGAAAATTGGGAATTACACAAGTAATTAAAAGATAGACAGATTTAAATCGAAACACAAAATTAAGCAATAATTTAAAAGAAGTATGTTAAGTAGGAAGAGAAAGAATATTTCATGTGTGTTTGTCAACTTCCCAAAGATTTAGAATCCAGAGAAATCAATCTCTTGTTTGTGTGAGTTCTTAAAAAGCAACCTTGTCTGGAAAAGTATGTGAAACCCAAAACCCAAACCAGTCCACTACACTACTTTTAGTATCTCTGGCTAAAAGCTTAGCAATGGGAAAGATCGTAGCAAGTGGCTAACAGAAGGTTTGGGGATTATCTGGATTTTAGTGATCTCATAATTTTTGAATTCTGCAGCAGAAATACTATGGAGCACCTATAAAAAAATACTGGTTCACGTATGGGGGCCAAAAGAATCAAAGGACACATTTAGTGAGGTGGAACTCATGGATGAGAGGTCGTATTTTGTTTCTAATAATGCACGCTGTTAGTTGTTAAGATTTGACAGCTCTTATTTGCAGTGTTTTCCTAGGGATAATCTCATACTCATCTATGTGCCATATGTGCAGGAAGTGCCAAGAAGATCAGTTGTTCTTCAGCCACTCTGTTGCCTAAACTACAAATAGTACATTTTGGTTGCAGATGGAGCATAAGGAAATGCCAGTTCCATTTGATATGACCCCACGTCATGTGCTAGATTTCAACTGGGAAATTAAAAGTGCTGCTGTCACTCCTATGGGATCTGTGTCTACATCTAATGTTCTTTGATTTAACTTCCAATAGAAGACAACAATTTAAATCACGAATTAAAACTTTGTAGCTGGGAGAGACTTGAGATATTCCCTGTCCAGCCCACTTACACGGTGCGAGGAGGCACAGTGTCAGAGTTGCACAACTATAATACATCTTGGACGAGAACCCAGGTCCTCTGTTGTTCAGTGGCAGTGTTATACTTTCAGATTCCTCACAAAGTAGAGTTGGAGATAGAACACTTACCTATTTAGCCTTTACATCCGTTGAAGGAATCATAGTTGGACAGAAGAACAGCAACGCTGGTCTGTTAACAGGAGGAGTTAATTGAAGTTGAGTTACTATAACTAAGTTGCTTTTTTCACCAAGATCATTTCAAGAAACCACAATGCTCAGGCAGCAGTTTCACATGATGGCCTTAAGATCAAGGGGAAAATATATGGTGAATATGTACAAATGTAACTTGCTTGAATTTTGGTCACACTGATTGCAGCTACTGCAGTAAGCTCTCTTATATTGTCCAGAAAACCTGATTAGTTTCATGAACTTCAAAATATTTTAAGGAATACTTTTGGAGAAATTTTTAAGCAAAGCATGTCCTTCTGAAATACCGTGAGGGTAGGAGTAGGCTACAGGATGGTAAATCTGAGCTCTAACCATCTAGGTTGGTTTGCTTACTCCTATGTGTAATGACCAGACCAGGGTCCACACATCCTCGGCTCTGGTCCAGTCTGAGAGTCTCTTTTGTAGATTGACCAGAGCAGAACCCCCCACCCAATTTTTTTAATGCTACCTATTTTTTTTATTTATTTATTTATTTATTTATTTATTTATTATTTTTAAGTTGAAGTAGAGTCAATTTACAATATTGTATTAGTTTCTGGTGTATATTAGTTTCTGATTCAGTACCTTTTCATATTCTTTTTCATTATAGGTTATTACAAGATACTGAATACAGTTCCCCATGCTATACAATAGGACCTTTTATTTATTTTGTATATAGTAGGTCATATCTGCAAATCTCAAACTCCACATTTATCCCTTCCCACCCCCATCCCCACCAGTAACCATAAGTTTGTTTTCTGTATCTGAGTCTGTTTCTGTTTTGTGAATAAGTTCATTTGTGTCTTTTTTTTTTTTTTCAGATTCCACATATAAGT